AGGGGGCACCCAGATCTTCATTAGTTCCTTCCAAGCCCCATCCCATCTCTGGCAACCTGACCCAGGTGGTGCCACCTCACCTCAGCCCAATCTCCTACAGACTCAGCTCTCTTTTGCAACTGAGAACAGGAGGGAGGGCAGGTTCCCCACCAGCCAGGGGACACACCACAGCATGCATTGAAAACCATACCTAGAGGCACAGCTAAGCAGGAAAACAGGAGGGAGGGATGGGGAGTGCCACAGAAATGTCACTAAGCCTCCCATCACTGCCTACCGGTTGATTGGGAGGGGTGGGGAGTGAGGAAGGTACTTTCCAGAGGCTCCTGGCAGCAGGACTAGTCTCTTATTTGCTTGTCCTCCAGGTTTTCTCTTTAATCTCCAGTTTTTACTGCTACTGTGCGTAAAGAGAAAAGTGCATCTAGAGGCAGAGAGGATGGGTTCCCCCTCCCTTTCCAAAGGGTGCTCTGAGCCCTGAGACCTGGGCAATGGTGCACTGGGTTCGTGGCCAAACCAACGCTGCAATGAGCTCTGACACCTGCAACTTGTGAAAGGCCAGAGCCGAGCCCTACCTGGGTACAAGGGTCCCCGTATCAAACAAATTCTGGGCTCAGTTTGACTCCAAGGACTCACACCAAGAAAAACACCCTGGTCCCATGCTGCACTCCTGGGGATGAGACCCAAGAAGCAGGAGCAGGGAGGTGCAGGCTGGGGGATAGCACCAGGGAGAGCCCAGCTGCAGGAACAGGGAGGAAAGGGTGGCACCAGCTCCTGCTCTTTGCCCCACAGCCTGGCCAAGGGTGCTGACATCTTCCCACAGGACAAACCTCAGCAGAGAGTGTCCAGACAAGCAGCACTGGTGATGACATGCTGGGAAGGGGAGGGAAGCATGCAGACGCCTGGGGAGGAGAAGTGCCAGGCCTGGATCCTCTCCATCACTCACACATGTTATGTTTAGGCAAGAGCAAACAGCAGGATGGAGCCAGACTGAAGGGGCTTTTCTTCACCTGCCTTCCCACCCTTCCCAGTCATCCACGCGTCCCATGTCCTCACAAAAACTCAGGCAGGTCCCTCAGCCCCTGCCAGCCGGGCCCGGTGCTGGTGCCAAGGAAGCTGTGCCGATGGAGAGCAGCTCCTTGGCTTGGCACCAAGCAGAGAGCCAGACTAAAGGGGCTTTTCTTCACCTGCCTTCCCACGCGTCCCATGTCCTCACAAAAACTCAGGCAGGTCCCTCAGCCCCTGCCAGCCGGGCCCGGTGCTGGTGCCAAGGAAGCTGTGCCCATGGAGAGCAGCTCCTTGGCTTGGCACCAAGCAGAGGAGACCCCCAGCATGGGGGACAACCAGTCCTTGCTCTGGCAGATGTGCCCCAGGGCATGTCCACAGGTGCCGTGGGCTGCACCACTGAGCAATGTGAAGAGGCCATGTGAGGGCCATGGGAGGGGGAGCAGCTTTTAGCCCCCACAGTGCTGCTCAGCTCGACAGAGGGTGCAGCTGCCTCCTCCCCAGTCCCTCCAGGAGCAACATGTGCCACACATGGGGGGTGCTGGTGGCAGAAAAAGCCCCCCTACACCATCTCTTTGGAGACAGGGGACAAAAACAGTTTCAGTAAAGCCTCTGGGAGAAGCACTATGGCACCAAATGAGACCAGCGTAGCCTTTCCCTTTGGTGTCTGCTCTTGTTGCAGAGAAGCAAATGACTTTTTTTGCTATGGACCTCCAGTCCTACCTCCTGGCTAGGAATGCCAGGTCAGACCCTGAGACTGCAGCAGATTGTGCCTGCTGTGTTTTGTGCCCCTTGAACGCAGCCTGGGATACACTTGAGCTTTCACCGTGCCTGCAAGAGACAGGAGTGCTTTGATGATCCCAGCTATGAGACCTGGCAGCTAGAGAGCAACCCAAACCATCCTCAGTTTCCCTGCACAGATGGAGCCTTGCCTTCCTTTTCTGGCCTTGTGTACCATCATGAGGAGAGAAAATGTTTGGTCAGCCCTCTAGGAAAGCTTTTCAGTTACAATATCTTGTTATTCCACAACATGTGAAATACTTGTCTCTGGTATGGATAAAGGACCACAGGCGATTCAAGCGATGCTCCAGAGCAGCTCATGCCAAAGTGACCCCTGTACATAGCCCCAGACCCACTGAGGGCACATCTGCACCATCCTGCAGCTGATCCTGATCCTGCACCCCTGCGAGAGCAGTGAGGGTAGGCAAAGAGAGGAGAAACATGGCTGGGGAAAGAGGAACAGGAGGACTTGGGACATTTTTCACTGAATCTGGCTCTTGGCTGGGACCCGAGATTTGTGACATGGACACAACTAGCTGTTTTCTGTAAGGAATGTGGCTGCTTCCCGCCAGGGAGATTGTTGACATTTTGTATCAGAAATACTCACTCTGTAGTTTCTGAATTACTGAGGCCTGCTGGTTTTTGACAAATGTCCAGAAGTTGGGCTCTGGAGCTGGGACAGCTGCTGCAGGGCTGGAGCAGGGACAAACAGCCAGGACCACGTACCTGGCCCAGGACAGCATCTCCTCCTGCCCTCCTCCTCAGCCTCCTGCCAGCGCTGGGGCCTGGCTCACAAAGTACAAGGACCTGGCAGGGATCTGCAGTGGCTCCGAGGAGGACACGGTTACTGCTCCCGGAAGAAATGGAAGCCACAGGCTTTGCAACCATGCTTTTACAAGCAGCTCGGACAAGAAGTCCCTCTAACCTTGATGGAAGTAGATAAACCTGCTTCCAACATCCAAGAGATCAATGCAAGCCCCTTCTCTGTGAGCTTCCCGGGGCCAGGTCACAATGCTAAGCCACTTCTGCAGCTCCTGTCCTGCGCAGGCACCCACACCAGCTGCAGAGGCTCAGGTCCAGCACTGAGCATCTTCCTCCTCCTCCCCATCCACGGCCTCTTGCGGGTCACCAAGTGAGCGGCCGGAAGGCTTCTGCCCAAGCAAGCACCGCTTATCCTCCTTTCCCACTCATGCTGTTTGTCTTGGCCTCTCTTCCCATGCCAACCGTCCTCCCCTGCCTCCTCCTCCCCAGGATTGTGTTGCTGGGGCTGTCAGTACAGTTAATGAGCTGGGACAGAGCCGGTGTTCTGGGGAAGTCACGCCAAGAGACAGCCAAGCCCAGGGCATTGCATTTACCAGCGAGGAGGACCCTAAAAGGGGGAATATCTGAAACAGAAACCCCAGCCACCCACCAAGGCAGCCAGCAGAACAGGGGAGGAAAAGAACCACGGCCAAGCTCGCATTCAACAGATCTCAGCAAGAGCCACCAGGTGCCTGGACATCCCCTGGCTTGGACAGCCCAGCCGTTGCAGCACCGTGGATGCCATCCTCTGGAAGGGCTGGTGGCCATGTCCCTGCTGCCGTCAGGAACAATCCATGTGTGGTCTCACTCACAGCCCGTGCCCAGGCTTGCTGCTGGCACCAAAACCAGAACAGGGACAGTGTAAATAATTTAACAATGTGAACAGTCACATCTGACACTGTGGTCTTCAGGAGAAGAGCATGATACCTGTCTTTTGGCCATGCAAATCACACTCGTGCACGTTCAGCCCATGCTTTTGCTGAACAGAGCAGCTCTATTCAAACACCACATGGCCCATGCAACAGGGCAGTTCCTAAGGGGACATGAGGCCACTTTGGGCAGAAAGACCATAGTCTTGGTGCACAGACCCCAGAGACCCAAGTCTCGGGAGAAAAATCGCCAGGGACTCCCACATTGTCAGTGATAGTGAGCAGGAGCAGGTAGTCTGCCTTGCTTGCCTTATCCATGGATGTACCCAGCAGCAGGGGTCTTCACCTGCCTTCATTTCCCCAAAAGCTCTTTCTCCTCATCTGCACCCCGGCTGCTAGCAAACACTGGGCAATCAGCACACTCAATTGGCCATGCTGTGCCTCAGTTTCCCTTCACTGCAAGGACAAACCTCGTTCCCACAGTTCTTCATCTGGGTCCCATGGGAGCTGGGAGCTTGGGAGCTCCAGCAGAGCATCTGTGCAGCAGGACTGAAGTGTTTTGGGCTGGATGGTGCAATACCAGTTTGCTCCCTCTCACCCCATCTCTGCAAATCAACACCCTGGGGAGGCACGGTGCATGCCTTGCCATGGTGCTGAGAGACTCCCAGGAGAGACCTGCAGCCCAGCTGCTGCAGAGCGTGTCCTTCACCCCTATTAACACCCCTTTTCCCCTCTCACACCCCAGCATGACCCTCTTTCCACTGCAGCATCGCAGGTAGCACTGGCTGCACCTCCCATGCTCCCCACTGGCCGTTGGGCTCAAACACGAGGCAGGTCAAGCACACGCGGGCTTTTCTTTTTATTTAACAAAATCACAGCATGATATAAAAGAGAGAGAAAAGAAGCAACTTACACCTGTAATTGCTGCATCAAACAGACGAGCAGTAAATACCTGAGCACGGTGTAAACACTGTTCATGCATCAGTGGCAGATTGGGAAACCAAGAAGGGGGGCAACATCCCTGAGGAGTGCAAGGGCCAAGGGCATGGTTGCTCTGCTGCCACCACATTACTGGCTTTGTTTCTACACATGGAAGGAATGGCAGGAAGAGAAACAGTGCAGGGAAGTCAGGGCACGAGAGAGGAACAGCACCGGCCATGATCTCATGAGGGCATCCAGGTTGTGCTTAGCGAAGGAGCAGCACAGAGCATGGCTGGTAAGGAACATTTCCATCCCATTCCATCTCCATCCCTTCCCTCCATCCCCACACTATCCCATCCTGGCAGCCCTTTCCAGGGATGCAGAAGCCTGCAGAAGCTTTGGGGCTGACAATGGAAACCTAAGACTGGTGCTGGAGATCACAGCTGCTGCACTGCAGGGAAGGCTGAGACCCCCCAAAGTCGTCTCACACAACAGTCCATCAACCAGCTTCCAGGCTGCAAAGGCAGCAGAGGCTTTGGTCCAGCAGCCCTTGGCTCAGCCTGATACAGGTTACTGGGTCAGATTGGAGACAGAGGGAAGAAGAGGGACAGCCACAGTCTTCTTCAGCATCTACTTGCGCTGGAGTTTGGCCTGGAGAAGCAAAAAACCCAGCCGTGATGAGTGTGATCCTCAGGGCAGGAGCCTCCTCCAGAGAGAGACAAAGTGTTCATGCCTCAGTAGGGCACATCCCAGCTCTTCCCAGCAGCCCACTCAGACTGGGAAAAGCCTGTTTGGTGGTGGACAAACACACCTGCGGGCTGCCCTTGTTCCTGGCTCTTACCTTTCTGGCATCCACCTTCTCTTGGAGGCGACTCACCCATGGGCTTACGACAGGGGCACAGATGCGCCTGCCCTTCACGGTGACGAACCTGCCAGCCCCATGGGGAAAAATAACAAGATGAGGTGAGCAGGACACCCCAGGGATGCTCCAGAACAGCTCAAGCTCACACCCACTAGTCTCCCACCATCTCTTATCTTGTGATGACATTCTTCCCTGACTTTTGTCCCAAGTCTTCCCCTTCTGACAGGTCTGTCCTGCTTTGATTTCACCTCAAGTCTCCAGGATCTCTTTCACATCCCTCCCTATCCCCTCACCTCCAACCCCAGCTCAAAGTCCCTCCTCCACTCCTCTCTGCCTCCCTCCCTGCCTCCCCACAGTGTCCATCCCTCAGCCACCACCACCCTAGGGCTCTTACACGACAGCCGGGAAGTCGCAGCCATCCTGCACCTGCTGGAGCCGGTAATCCTGCACTCTCCGCCACGGGATGGGCGTATCTCTTGTCTTCAGGCAGCAGTCGAGGGCGTAGTTGTGGCCATTCACTGGAGGAGGATCACATCACGCAGGCTGAGGTTGCTCTCCCTAAGTTATCTGTGCCTTCACCCAGCCCCCCTGAAAGCAGCGGGGGCTGCAGGGCCACCCTGGAGGAGCAGGGCAGGATGGTGCCCACCAGCAATGCCCCAGCACACCGCCCCAGCTGCACACATGGGCATGAGATCTATTGCTTGCATGGCCTGGTGATGGGATCCCTTTACTTTCTTCCAACAGAAAGTAAAGGTGGTGACAAGCAGCAAATTGGTGAAGGGCAGCCCTTCTGCATGCATAGGTCCCTCCTGCACCTCTGGGGCCAGCAAGTGGGGCAAGACGGTGATCTTCACCCTGCCTCAGGATGCTGCGATGCTGAAGACCAAGGGCTGGGAATGGCTTCAGCTGTATTTGCTGAAGCAGTCACAGATTTTGCAGCTACCCCGTCACCAGCCTGCCCATGCCAACCAATCCTGTGACAGCAGAGGGACACAGTTGTCTGCACTTCACTGCGTGGTTAAGGGAGCTTGGTCGCCCTCCAAGCAAATGCTGCATTCACTGTTAATGCCCATTAAGGCCAGCAGGGCCCAGGGACACCTGTAACCCCAGGCAGCAAGGTGTGGTGCACCACCACAAGACGTCTGAACTCCATAGCTCCCCGTGGCAGAGCAGAGGGCCTGGTCACCCATCCAGACAGGTGTCACATGTGAAAACCCTGTGTTCAACACCACGAACCCCTCAAACACAGGCTTTGCCCTACCACACGCCTTCCCTCCTACTCCCAGCCCTGCCACTTGCCCCTAGGCTGCCCCACACCAAAGGGTGCCAGGGGTGCTCTCCTGCTGTGCTGGGCAGAATGGGACCAAGGCCATCCCAGCCCGGTGTGCACAGGCTGGGCAAAGGCACTGGGAGACAGGATTGCTCCACAGCCTTTCCCAAGCACAGCATTGCACCTCCAGTGTCCTGTGGGCTCCTGCCTGGACTTTGGGCGGGACAGAGTCCATCTGTGAAAGGAGGACACAGGAAGGCTGTGACAGAGCCCCAGCCATGGGCCCTCTAAAAGTCTGCTGGAAATGCAAAAGAGAGCAAGAAATTGGATCCTCTCCCTTCCACAAGAAAGGCAGCTGCAGAGGTTCCCTCTTACCATCCAGTATACGTCCCAGCACCAGGAGACAGAAGAGAAGACAGAGCCGCTGCATGTTGCTGCTGGGTCTGGCAGAGGACGGGCTGGAGGCAGTGGTACTCGGGGTGGGAGAAGTGAGCTCTGCACAGCTCCCCTGCACTCTGCTGCTGGTGCTCCAGGCTGCCTATTTATCCTTCCAGCCCTTGGCTTTCACTTTCTTTTGAAGAAAAGGGGTGGGAGGTTGCAGCAAGTCTTGAGGAATTTTAATCTTTGAGCAGTTCCCGCATATCCCGCCTGCTTTCCCTGTAATCAGCTGCTCTGCGGTCTCAGAACCAAACACCCTCCTGCCCTCGCTGCTGCCAACACCTGGGCCCCAGGGCTGCTGCTCAGGGCCAGAACAGCATCAGGGTCCCTTCCATCTGCTACAGCACCCCAGGGCCCTGGGCAAACATATCAGTGGTCTCATCCCCGTGCATTTCTCAGTCCCTTCTCTGAGACATCTCTGTGGTGTTCCCATTAGATATTGCATAGGCTCAAACCACTGATGCTGGGGATTAGAACTTGTCTCAACCCCATTTTTTGCGTATATACCAGTACTGGGTTGATGCTTGGCTCCCCCTGAACTCCCCCGTCTGGTTGCAGGAGCCTGACTGACTCCCCTTGCCCTCCCCATTGCCTGTGTGGCGGGCACATCTGAAGCTGGTAGATAGAGGGGAGCACAGCCAGCACGCTCCGCTCCAAGACCGCCCTTTCACATGCCAAAAGACAACTTGGTTTCCAGGTGTCCTAGCAAATGGGATCATGGCCAAAGGCAGCTACAGAGCTTCCTGGAAACAGGTTTTCTCAGCACAAGAGCTGAGAGCACAAGAGCAGAAATCCCCCACAGAGGCTGTGTGCACAGTGCGGGGTGCCAGCAGCTCACGGGCTGAGTGGGCACTGCAGGGAGCCCAGACCAGCACTCCCACTGCAAACCTTCAGAAAAGCACAAGGATGGGGGCTGCTTCTCCTTGGAATGATGACTCACCACCGTGCCAGTGCCATCTGCAGTGGTGTCCCTTAACTGAGACCTGATATGTGGCAGGTGGCACACTGAGAGTGGTGGGGCTGTCCAGCCCAGGGGAGGGATGGTGAAGGGGGTCTCACTGCTGCCAGCAGCTGCTTTGTAGGTGTTTGGAGAAATGCCAGAGACAGGCTCTTCTTGGAGGGACCCAGGGACAGGATGAGAGGCAACAGCACCAGTTGCACACAGGGAAATTCCCACTGACAGTAGGAAAAATATTTCCCTGCAGGGGCAAACAAATCCTGGAGCAGGACCTCTATCCCATCACCTTCTCCCTTGCTCCAGCTTCAGCCTGTCCTAGCACCTCAGTGGACAGCACCCCACAGTCTTCCCATATGGACAAATATCTGGGGACAAGACACAGGGCTGGCACCTGAGGACCTCAGCAGGTCCCTCTGCTGCCCTCAGCAGGAGGAGATAGCGAGCAATGTCCCGTTCCTGCTCCACAGTAAGAAGCAAGAGGAGACTCCAGCCATGCCACCAGCCAAGGTGCTCCATCCCCAGAATGGACACTGACACCCGCCTTGTGCACAGAGTGATCTCCTCCATCAGGAGAGCATCATCTCTGGCCACTGCTGTGCCCTGGCAAGAGGGCGCTGTGACAAAGGGGTTGGGCAGGGGTGGGTGTGCAGGATGGGCAGCACAAACAGGACGTGTCAGCTTAGCTTCAGTCAGCACCCACTGCTTTCTCGCACTCACAAGCTATTGCAGAGAAATCTTTGTTAGCAGAAGGGGAATTTAGGTGGCAGAGGATTAGTGTCAGTCATCAGCCCCAGTCTCACTGTGGTTTGGGGATGCAGGCTGGCTCTGGGACCTGGTCTCCACTTGATCTCACCGAGTCATTGCCAAAGAGACGCCCCAGGAGGGAGGGCAGTGGCTCCTGGCAGCTGATGCTGGTGGCCAGACCTGCACCCTGCGAAAAGCAGAGCCCTGCCCCACCAGCAAGGGATGCTGCCTGATGGAAACCCTCTTTTCCTTAGATGTCAGGTGGGTTTGGCAGCTACCAAAGCACACCTGAGGACTGGCAAGGAGTGCTGGGGGATGCTGGGTCCCTGGGCTCTTGTTCCCTGTGCAAGCAGAGAGGTCCCCTGCCACTGTCCTGGCTCCCATACCCTGCTGCACTGAAAGCAGCCTGCCCAGCGTTGGGAATGCATCTTTATAGGAACAAACCCCTTCACTGCCTCTGGCTGCAAGGGACGCCCTGCCACCGCGCTGGAGGCTCTGCCTCCTCCCAGCAGCTGTCTGGGTGCCAAGTGGGTGAAAGCACGGCTGCTCCAGTCGCCTCTGCTCCCCAGGAGCGACATTGGAGGGTGAGAAAAGGGATTTTCCATTCAGTTGTGAAAGGGGAATGTGACGGCCTTCCCCCCCTCCACTGGGGTCAGTGGGATTTCTAAGAAGAGAGTGGTCATCTCCAAAGCGCATCCCTGCAGCATGCAGAGAGGTCACCCCATCCCCCTTGAAGGGCTGAGCCTTGGGGACCAGAAGAGACATAGAGATGGGGAAGAGGGGATATTTTGGGTCCGGGCTCTTTGGAGGCACACACAGATGGGAACAGTCAGGGGATCCAGTGTGATTTAGGAGGAGGGGAGAACACCGTGTGTGCTGACCCATTTAAGCCTCATTCAAAGCAATTTGGGACCGATGGAGCTCCAGCCCTGATGATACCACAGGCAGCGCAAAGCATCCCTGAACACTCCCTCCTGAGAAGCCTTGATAATGCAGTTTTTAATTAAAATGGAAACCATGCATGGAGGAGGAGCATCTCCATGGGGAATCCAACCCATCAAAATGTCAACAAGCTGTGTGAACATCACCTCCATCCCCAGGCTCTTCTCAGGGAGCAGCAGCCACCCTGACACCCTCCCAGATACCTGCCAGGGGCGGGGGGCCCAGGAAGCTCCTCCTTACCGGCCCATGGGCTCTCCTGTGTCCTCCCCATGGTCCCTTGCGATGCTCTGCTTTCCACCTCCAAGTGACGGAGCTGGAAAGGGCAAAGGGGGAATTTCAGCAGATTCCAGACACAGCCAGTCCCTGGGGCAGGATCTGGCCTGGATGCGTTCACCTCATTGGGAAATACTGGGCAGGCATTTCAGCTGCTGCAATTTCCCTCACAACTCCCAGCACAAGGAAGCCTTCCGCACAGTTCCCATTGCAGTCCCAGTCCTGGTGCAGCACGGGGACTGGGTGCAGCACGGGGACTGGGTCCACCACCAGCCCACTGGGCTCAGGGCCCCACTGGGTCTCCTCTAGCTGACAGGGAACCCAGTCAACCTGACTTAAATGGCATTAAGGGGGGGAAAAAAGAGCAAGTCATGCTTTTGCCCAGAGAGAGCAGAGCTGGTCCTGAGGATCTGGCTGAGAGGCGTACAGAATCACAGAATCACAGAATCACAGAACGTTAGGGATTGGAAGGGACCTCAAAAGATCATCTAGTCCAATCCCCCTGCCACAGCAGGAACACCTAGATGAGGTTGCACAGGAAGGTGCCAGTTCCTGCTGTTAGAGCCCATCTGTCCCTAACACTCATTAGCTTCAGTCTCACTGATGTTGAGGTCACCATAGGTGATAGGCAGAAAGGCCAAGACCCTTCATTTGGGTCCTGCTCGACCCCCCTATGTGAGCACCCATCTCCCAGGGTCCCTCCAATACCTGTGTCCCCCAGCAGCACCTTTGGGCTGCACAGTTTCCCAGACAGGAACCTGGGAAACCAGGATCCTTAGCACTCCAAACTCACCTGTGGACAGACCTAAAAGCACATGGGAAGGGCTCAGACCCTTGGGGGCTGCTTTCTTTGGCTGCTCTCTTGGCTCTTGGACTGAGACCAGGCAGAGGAGGCTGTGGGGTCCTTGGTCTGGTGCAGCTCTGGAGCACGGCTCACATTGGTCGCACCACAGGACATCGTCGGAGGAGAGCAGATGCTCTTAGATGCTCTTCCACCGCACCTTGGAGAGCTGCAGCCCAGGAGCAGGTCTGCAATGCCCAGGGGGATGGGAAGGAAGTGGAGGGATCTGAGGGTTCTGGGGAAGTGAAAGGAGGATTGGCAGCATGAGGACACCCTAAAGCCAAGGGTCTCCAGCCCCAGCAGAAGGGAGGATGGGGGAAGGAGGGCACTTGGGAGCTGCATGTTGGAGAAGAAAGGGATGTTAAGAACCTCTAGGACAGGATGAGTGCCAAGGGATGGCCAGGACTGGGAGATACCTTGGGGCAGGAGGGTTGAGTCCCTGTTGCCCACCATCAGCTTCGCCACCTCCTCTTCCCTCAACACCATGGCAGACACCAGGAGGGGAGTTTTGGTGGAGAGAGCACCAAAAAGCACCTTGACGCTTCAGCTGGAAACCGCAGCCCTTCCAGCACCCATGCAGCCCCAGAAACAGCCCTTGGTGCCCATGGTGCTGCTGCAGCTGCATATCCAGCTCCTTGCTTTTTGGGAACGGCACAGGGCAGAGGGACGGAGCCGGTGCATGTGTCTCCAGGTGAGCCTGGCTGGAGCTCAGCCCCTCATTGCAGCCCAGCACGCTCTGCTGTCGGCACGAGCCCGGAGCATCGTCTGCGCTGGCTACTGACGTGAGCCAGTCACTTGGCCTGGGCTCAAGACTTCCCTTTTCTTGGCCGCAGCCCATGGTTTTTGTCCTGCCTGGCTACTCTCCGCTGTCACTGAAGCCTTTCTTCTCCAGGGTGGCCGAGCTCTCCTAACTTATTCTGCTCTGCTTGACACGGCTGCAACTTCCTTGCCTCCCCTGCAGAATGTCATGAGAGGCTTTTTTTTGCCCTGCTCCCCCGACCCTTTGCCCAGCCGCTGCCCCTGCACACGCTGCACAGACGCTGCCTTGGCTTTGCACATGGGGTGAAGCAGCAGATTTGCCCTGCCCAGGATATGACTGCATGAATCCTCCTCTGCTGAGCATCTCCTTTACATCGCTTGTTTTGGCTGGGGCCTGTGGATTCAGCTGCTCTGTAGGGAACGGGTTTTGGCCCCTGATACGCACTCCAGATGCTAGCCCATCTTCTCTCCCTTCATCCTCTCTTGCAGGGAATCTCCTGCAACATGTTTCACTGATGCCATCATCTCGCTGGCAAGACAGCACGGTGGTCATCTGCCTCACCAGCAAGATGCTCGCACTAACCCTGACACCTTGTTTTCCTTAAAAACAGCGTTGTGCAGTGGAGCTGGCTGTGGTGTGCAAACACACCTGCATGTGCAGGTACAAGCACAAGTGGGGCTGCATTTGGGCGTGCGTGTCCATGTTCACATGTGCCTGAGTATGTGGGAAAAGCTCCAGTGCTCTTCCCCAGGCTCTGCTTTTAGGGTAAATTTTAGGGTAAATTAGAGCACCCCTATGAGCACATCTTTTTAACCTGTTTTAGCCTAATGCCCACCTAGCATTTGAAGGGGAAAATCTACCTGTGCAATGTTAGCATCTGCAGCCACAGAGACACCAGGACACATTTCACATGCTGGCTCGCTCCTGCCACCTCCTCATGCTTTGCTGCTTGCAGTTGCAGACAGACTCGCCTGGGCCTCATTTCTAGGGGCTTTTTGCAAGCATTTCGCAATCTCTCGACACCGTGACCAGCACAAGAAGAAGTCCGGGGGAAGGCAGACGCACAGGGCTGGCTGCAGCGCATCCTCAGCGGAGCCGGGGCTGCCTGCAGCCCTCCCACAGCCCTGGCTGGCTCCTAGTGCGCGAGTGGCAGTTCCCAGGCTCCCAGCAAAGCCCAGGCCAGAGCACAGCCTTATTAATTACTCGTGTAATGCTGTTTTCCCATAGCAGATGGCAGCGCAGAGACCCTGCTTTGAGCAAGTGGTGCTTGTCCAGGGAGGTTTGGAGGAAAAAGCTCTGCTGTGAGAAGAAAGGCACCACAGACAAGAGTGTTCTGTGACTATTTTGCTGGCATCTCAGGACCCCGCCATGGGGATGGATGGAGCAAGATGGCTTCACCTTGCTGGGCAACACAGCTGCAGGACAGGGGACTTGCACTGTTCCCTATGCCAGCAGCTCCCAGCCCCTGCACCCCAGGGATGCAGCACCCAAGGGGGCTGCAAAAGCCAGGACCAGGGAGATGACGGTGTGTAGTGCAGAAGAAATCCCTCCATGCAGCCCCCCCTTGCCGCACCAAAGCCCATCACAACAGCCAGAAGAGGTGCTTTTTGGTTATAAAGGATATATTTTATTGCCTCACATCCTGTCCAAAAGCCAGTCTGGCAGCCGGCCACGTGCTCCCACGTGGAGGAGGTGGCAGCACAGAGCCAGCTCAGCACCCGTCCCCTGTCCAGGGCCGGTATCTTCACAGTTTCTTTACACAGCCTTCAAATAATAGACCTAAGCGCTGCCTAATACACAATCAAGCCAGATAAATGTGTTAGATTGAAACACTCAGCTACAAGCTTTACTCCAGCCAACACACCGCCTTTGCTGATACTGTTAAGCCCCGCAAATCCCATTATTGCAATTATATGACTTAATAGACCTTTACTGACCAAAGTCCACGTCTGAAGCCTCTGCAAGCAGATAGCACTGCAGCTGCGGTACAGCCTTTCAACCCGCTCCTTCTCGCACGCTGGAGGGGGTTTGCAAGCACAAGGGAGATGCTCTTT